ACTAATTTTTTTCCTACCTAATACTTGTCCACTAAAACAAAACAAAAAGTATTAATTACACCGTTTAAGAATAATTATTATATAACAGACATCTTACTTTAAAGTTTCTAAAGTAAAAATTACATAAATGGGTCTTCGGCAAAGACTCATACTACAACTAGATTTGCACATAAATTTATATAGCACATTATAAGTTTTAAAATCTGAACAAGGTACAAAATTATGAACAATGGCAACAACACTATGCCTTTGACTTATGTGATTTTGTTCATAAACTGCATCAATTTGTTCACACCAAAGTATATGTTCTATTTTATTTCTATCTAAAATTAAATTAAAAACAAATTTATTTAATTGGTAAAATTTACTTTGAATGAGTAGGATTATAGTTTAATATTTTTTTATACCACAAAATTTATCCTGCATAATATGTATAGGGCAACGTTTGATGGGCAACTGTTGAAATTCAGAATTCGCAAAAATTGGTAAAGCACGTATTTGAACATTTTTTATTCCTAATAATGCAATATCATTAAACCGCCATTGAAACTGAATAGGCAGTACTCGATTCATGTCAATGTATACTTTATTCAAAGATGCAGAATACTAAAACATAAAATACACTTCATACGATGTATATAGATAAAACATTTTGATAAATAAAATTAACTACTACCATATTTTGACTACAAAAAAAATCAGAAATGGATTTATGGTAGATTTTATTTATTTATTCAAATTAACAGGCATTAAARATACAAAAGTGAATCAAAAATGTTAAATCTTTTCTGGCTTTTTTAAACAGGAAATTATAAATCAAACATTTTATTAAAAATCGAGTGATTCTTTTGTCAAAGAACACTCATATTTCAAAAACTATTTATGTTATACCCATTATTGGAAATATTTATTTACTTTATTTATTAATTTCTAGGTATTTACAAAACAAAATTTTTTGAAAAAATTTTACATTTTTAAGTTTAGTACTTTTTTTTAAGTTGACTATGCATTTTCCAAAGCAGAACAATTTTTAAAATACTTTGACATATTAAAATTGAATATTRAAAAAGTAATTTATGACTATAGTTTGTAAATATTTTGAGGTTGATTAATAGCTCATCTAAGGTTTAAATAATACTTTAAATTCCCTATAAAAAGCATTTATTTGCCTTCCATAAAAAGCAATATAGAACAAGAAAATGCAATGATAATTTTAATAGATTTTAAATTTAATTTACTAGAGGCAACAAATATTTAACCAATAATTAATTATTGACTTAATGTTAAAAACAATACTTGCCATCCAATGCTTTTTAGAAATTTCTGTAACATTTAATAAAAAATCAAAATCAAATTGTCCAGGATAATCATCAGTACAAATTTGTGAACCAGTTTGTCTTGAATATTGGTAACTTGATTCTGATTCTTCACTGAAAGATGGTGATTCAGTCTCAGCCTCACTATTTATCACCTATACAATTATTATTTCAAGCAGGTAAATAATTTAGTTAATACTCAATATTAAATAATTGTTATAGCCTATAGGTACCTATTTTAGGAATTTATTTTTTATCAAGCTAAAATACTTGCGTAAATAAACGTATATAAATTCACCTCAATTATTTCCTCGTTTTCATATTTAATAGTGTCCATTACATGTAACACGTCGTATAATTGTACCAGTACCAAATACAAATAATAATATGTTACATGTTTAAAAATTAAACATTTAAGCGATTGTGTAGCATGAAATAACAAACTATTTCAAGTCTAAACAAGTTCAGACTTTCAGAGATAAGATACCATGATAACCACATTAATTCCACTATACACATTCACGTAATTTCTTTGCTGTGATTGGTTTGTTGGATAAGATTAACCACGTTACCGTGTTGTCACGTCTTGTCGGGCATAGCCTGCTAGCTGCTGCATAACATTAATTTATGCATAGCACACGGAACACATAGTAGTTATTGTTACCATGTTCTACATACCAATGATATGAACCGTCCCTCTCTTAAAGGATCACTATATGACGTTATTCCATGAAAACGCGTCTTATCAACAACCWGTCATTTTTATCAGTAAAATGTCTGATCTCTGATATAAACACGAAACACGGAGGGACTAAGATAAATCTTTGTGAATAGTGAAATAGTGATACACTGACACGAAGAATTACCTACGTATTTAAAATGTTTATTTTTACCTGTTAGTGTATAAACTATAAAGCGATTCATGATATTTACTATTTAGTGTATAAAAGTGTATGATACAATAATCCTAAATATGTATTTCAGTATATATCTACAATATAAAGATTTCAATACAATTTAAAAAAAAAGAATCTCAATTTTCACTACTAAAACCTGATCGTCCTGATCAGTATGGCTGAATTGAAACAAAAACTAAAGAATCTCTTAGATACTAAGGTGTGTTTATGAACTTAATTATTTTTACTATCTGCATGGTACATGGGTGACTGTATTCAATTTTACAGAATTTTAACTATAGGTATTACTAATTATTGTGTATAACAGTGAGGAAATCAGTTTTCTGTATACACTTTCTGATATTGAGTGTTTCTCTTCATTGATTAGATCATTGTAACATATGAGTTAAATTGTATTACTACAATAGTTCATTATAAACAAAAAATATTATTCTGACCTCTGATCAGAGATCTAGAGGCAACTAGGAAAACTTTTTTTGTGGTGTATAGCCATTATATTTTTCACTCATTAATCTATGTGTACATTCAATAATTTAATAATTTTCAAACATAATCAATAATATTTTATTATATATTACAATATTGACAGAAATTAAACACCTAAAATGAAATATTAGGTTTCCCATACCATTTTTTAAATTAAATAAATCACAATATTTAGAAACAGTCTAATAATTAACTGTGAGCAATTACATTTAAACTATTGTTAATTAATTATTTTTATTTTATAATCTTTTAAATTTGTATCTATGAGGCAATACTTGTAAAAATGCCTCCTAATAATTATATTATAGGTATATAAAACATAATATTTTATTTTGGGGATTTA